ATTCATACGTATCCGATCAAACACTAAATAGATATAATTCGCTTCGCATTGTTAACACTATTGGTTGATAAGGTATGTTACCGTTAGGACAATGTTTTTGTTACACTCTATAATTAGTATCACTCGGTAAATATACCAAAACGCACATCGTTAGACATCTGAAAAGTCGTGATGAAATTAGCCAATGAAGGAAAAGTTTTACGTGAAATATTTATAATTTTGGCAATAGGAAAATCGACTGTGAATGATATAACTAAATTCAAGAGTATTCACACTCCAAAAATTGAAAAAGTTCTAAGAGACACAAAAGTTCACTAATCGTGTTGATATATTGATTAAAAGAGAGGCTGTTACAAATGTGAAAAAGAATACTGCCATTATTGAATGGGAATTACAAGAAGAAAATTTAGCAGACATAAGTCAAGGTACTGTTGAACGCAGACTGAAAGAAGTGGGACTTTTTAGACGCGTTAATATGAAAAAACTACTCATTAGTAAGAAAAATAAGAAGGTTACTTTAAAATTAGCTAAAGCACATCAAAGCTGGACTGTTGAGAACTGGATCAAAGTACTGTTTTCGAACGAAATTAAAATTATGCTATAGGGTGCATTTTCTTAGAAAGGTATAGACTCTGCCATGTACAAAGACATTATATTGCAGTAAATGCTAACTTATGCTCGTCATAACATGGCTAGAAGATGAATATTTTAATGATAAAATATAATAATATTTATATTTAATATTATTTGATAATATTATTATTATAATTATAATTATAATAATCTGCAGGATAATGATCTGAAACATCGATCACAGCTCCTTCAATAAGTCTTTATCAAGAACATAAATCAAGAACATAGTTTTAAAGTGGCCAAGTCAGTCTCCGGACTTGAACCCTAGTAGAATATTTATAGCAAGAGTTGAAATTAAGATTAGGGACAAAAAATAAAGCTGATTTGTGGGTTTAAGAATAATGAAAAAATATTTTTTATAATAGAATGATGAAACTTATTGATTCTATGCCCAACCAATGTGCTGCCATGATAGCTTCTAAAGGCACGGCTACGACGTACATATGACTACTATGTTAAATTTAATACCTTTTTGAGTTTTTTTTTTTCATGTTACTATGCCATCTATATTTTTTCTATATATGTATCAAATTCCTAGTTGGCCGGAATTAAGAAAGAGGAAAAATTATTACTTTTGGATTAAGATTTTGTTAATAGTTAAAATAAATATTTGGAACACATAGTTTCGTAGTATAATAAAAGTACTTTACGAAGGTATATTTGTGTTTTCACTTTACATTCTTTATACATTATTAAAACATAAAGTTGCCTTTGGCCGGATATTTTTGCACGTAACTATATATCATTGGAAAAAGGCGGATTTAAAAGTGATTAATTTTTCGATACCTCTCTATTTTACTTTACATAGTTTAGAAAGATTACAGTTTTACTGCAAAGGTAATAAATATCGCTGTAATCTTGGCATGTTTGTTCATCTCCATCTCCTTCAGAAGTACACTTTTTGTTTCGATCACATTGATCTTATGAACATACTTGCATTTTTTCCAAGTGTCGTCCCCTGAAGATTTCATCATATAACAAGATGAAAGTTGTTTAATGCTGCAAAACTCTGTTATCTGTAAAATATAAAATTATCGATATATTTAATACTCAAAATATAAGTATACAGTTTTGGAGCCGAAACTCAACCGATAAAATAATTACTTTGAAATTCATATAAAAGTTGAAATTTATATGAAATAATTGTACAATTTGAAATATGTTATTGCAATCGACATTCGTTGAAATGTAATATTAAGTTGCTCAAAATTTATTTCTAAGTGAAAAAAATATTCATTGTCCTTTTTAAGATGAAATTTTCGCTATAATCATTCAGCTTCTGTACCACAGGTAGATGATCTAATCGAGCCCTTCCTTTCATAAAATTTCCACTGATTCCTTCCTATTCCAAATGGTTCAATGTTCCAGTAATATGAAAAATACAACTATTTTCAATGAAGTCTAATAGTAATCAAAATAAATACTAAAATTAACCATCCATTGATCTTGATATTGTATCACATAAAATAATATTTTGAATAAAAATTAATTCAATAATTTATAAATTTATTTGATTATTTAATAGCATATTCAATGATATTTTATTATTAATGATATTTTATTAGATATGTTATGAGTTCTAATAATTAAACGGTGCAATGTTTAACCAGTCATATGTTGTGGAATGATTTTAATAAATAATGAATAAAGAAATGTTCAATCACACTTTGTTGATATTTCTTTGTAAATTCCAATAGTTAAACGGTACCACATTTACTCGCTCATATTTTATTAACCCATTAAGGCCCATGCCAAAACATCATGAGACAGCGCTAAACTAACTATGCCATTCATAGCATAAGTGAAAAAAAAAGTACCCGTGTTTTTTCTTCTGCCATTTGCAATTGTCTATAAAAAATTATTTAAAAAAATTACCAAAAAAGTTAATATTTTTAAAAACTGATTGCGGCAATCGATTCTACGGGAAAAAATACGACAAAACCGTATATAATGTTTTTTGGTCAGACTTAAATTTGACGCTAGGAAATGACTATAAAGTCTATCCATCCGAAAGTTTGATACCGGTGGGATGAATATACTACAACCTAATGGTTGGGTGGATGATTTGAAAAAATTTTTATTTTATTATAAAGTTGTGAAAATTATGTTAGAGATCACGTTTGAGTGGCGGGCTAACGGTTGGATCAAAATGTATAGATATCATTTACTTTCACTTCGAAGCGTCTGTCTAACTTACGAAGTGCATTTTATATTATTTCATAATTTTCACCATTTTTTATTCTTGAAAAATGTTCAGGCGAAAAATATGAAAGCGCAGAATTGCTGATATAACAGATTTAGTTGGGGTTGATGATGTCGAGTTCGATTCCCTAGCTAATTCTCGATCTGTCAACATAGCATTTATTCCCGGAGACCACGAAAGCTCCGATGGAGATTCTGATGGCAATCTGGATGAAGATGTTCATCTCAACTTATTCCTACTGATTCTTATGAACATGTCAAAAGCATGTATACCAGTACTCAAAAATTACTAGAACCTAATCATGTTTTCCATTGGTAAGAAAAAGCTCTGACTCATGACACCACTGTAAATGATATGACTGTCATTTCAACATTGAACCGATTTCTTCTTTATTCTATAAAAATTCTTTAGATTTGTTTGAACTATATTTTTCTAATTCCATGAAAAATTATATCGTCGAAGCTACATCAGAAAATAAACGGCATAGATAGTTTGACGGTATGTATATGCCATGGATTTTGCTTGGGATTTGGCGTATACAGGTGAGCCTGCCCGGCCTGCAATTGTTTATTGCAGTTTTACATTAACAATTTGAAGTTTGACAAGAAAACGTTCTATACGTTTTCGTCATATTTTTTCCCGTCGAATCGATTGCCGCATCAGTTTTTAAAAACATTAACTTTTTTGGTAATTTGTTTAAATAATTTTTTATAAATAATTGCAAATGGCAAAAAAAAAACAAGGGTACTTTTTTTTTACTTATGCTATAAATGGCATAGTGAGTTTAGCGCTGTCTCATACTGTTTTGGCATGGGCCTTAATGGGTTAAAACAGGATGGAAGATTTGTATTTAACCCTTTAACGCTCAAATAGCCAAAATTTCAAAGTCAACTTCAAGCTCGTGCCTTTCAATTATAACCCATGTGAAAAAAATATTGAGATACATATTCTTGTGTAAAAAAATCTCATTTTTCGAATGGCATCGTTAAATTTATTGAAAAATGAACGCAAACAGTTTATTTTTAACAATAAACAAAAAAAAAATGCAAATTTTCAAAATTTTTTTCTTTTGAGGAATTTTTTCAACTATGTTCTCGGTACTCCAATATATCCTAACCCATCAGGATACGGGACCCGAAGGTTATACTTCAAAAATATATCTTTAGATACTTCGATTTTGACTGTTAATCGATCCAAAATGGCGCCCGAATGCCCGAAATTATTGCAAAATCACAGAAATTTGCACTTTTGAAGTTGAATCTAAGTTTTAACAGGCAAAGTGACTTTTCTGAGTTTTATGTCAAAAGATTGGATGCATATTAGCAAAATTAGCTCACGCAATTGATTTTCAAGATGGCGGCTACCAAGAGTTAGCTGAAATAACGTATTTACACGTTTTTATAGCCTCTGTATAGTCTCCAATCCTCTTTTTTTGATCGGTTAGTAAACTCTCTGAATCATTAGATCTGAATTCATTATTAGCTTATCAAAATTTAAAATGGCGGATCCAATATGGCGGACCGTAACCTGAAAAATAGCTATTTACGGAAAGTAAAAAAATACCATCGTATTCTACGTAAAATTTGAGATAAAATAACTTCAGTTCATTTTCTCGCTCAAAGTCGCCATTTTCGAGTGAAAAATTCCCAAAGTATCAGAAATCGAAAATTCGCCTCCAAACTTCGCAATCATGCGTTTTCGATCGGAGTTTTCCGATTCTCACTGCAAGCAGGTAAATGCTCTTGAAGACTGTCATTCCTATATAAATTTCCTCTCAAATTCGCGAACCTACTCACGTTTGTGAATACCGAAAATCGAAGATATCTCGTCAAGAAATTATTTCAGTGTCTGTAATGACAATGTTGTTTTTATGAGTTTATTCCTAAAAAAACTGTATTCAAGATCGCATGTATCGCACAGTCCCTGATAGGTAATCTCATCCTAGACTCGAGAATGGGAGTTCCACAGACCCAGAAAGCACAGTCGTGATAGAATTTTTCTCCGATTTGCAATTTCTTCCACGTTTGTGAGGATCGATTCCAGAAAAATATTTGGGCATGAAATCATTTGGATAGCTTTTGATTGCATTGGATTGGATAGCTGCATGGATTTGCATAACTTCATTCCCTAAAAAAATTGTATCTACTTTCATACATAAGGCATAATGCCCAAAAGGAAATCTAATTGTAGACGTGAGAATAGTAGTTCTGCAAATTTGGAACAATCCAGTCAACGGAATCCAGTTGCACAAGGGTCCATTGAGTATGACGAACGTGGAGAATTCATCAATGCTAATATTATACCAAATGCTGAAGATTCTGGTGAATCTGATTCAGATATTTCAATAAATGGAAATTCTGATGATTCTTCAGAAGACGATTCAGGCTCGGAGCAAGTTGATGATTCCACGACGACGTTTATTGTCAATTCTTACGATGATGTTTACAAAAGTTACAGTGGTTCACAAAAGAAATTAGAGAATGATCACCAGTACGAATGGCTCAATAGAGAGCATAATCATAATAGAACTTTCACAAATGAGATATTCCTCAAAAATTCGGATAAAGAAAGCATATTGAAAAGTACTCCAACAAATTTATTTGAATGCTTCTTCACTCTCGAAATGAAGGATCACATCATTGAATGTACAAAAATAAATGGCTGTGAAATGTCAAGGACTGAACTTGATGTATTCATTGGTATTATTATATTTACTACATACATTAAAAGACTATCTCAGAGAGATTACTGGTCTACGGACTCACATTTGAGAGCTGAACCGGTAGTATCCGCAATGTCCCGTAAAAGATTTGAACAGATCAAGTCAAAAATCAAATTTCATAAGCTTGAAGAGAGAAATAATACTGATAGGATCTATCGCGTCAGAAAATTGACAGATATATTTAGAAAAAATTTGATGCGTTATGGTATTTTTTCAACAGTATTGTCAATATACGAAATGATGCTAAAGTTTTATGGAAGAACAGTTTTGAGACAATTCATAAAAGGTAGGCCCGTGAGGTTCGGAATCAAAATGTGGGCCCTCTGCTGTGCCAATGGCTATCTTTTTGATTTTGAAATTTACTGTGGGAAAAATTCTGATACGGATGGGGTATTATCAAAATGTACTCTAGGTAATCGTGTGGTTGTCAATATGCTGCAAGTAGTTTTCAGTACCGTAACTCTTCGTAACAGAGATCAATTGCACATTTACTTCGATAATTTGTTCACTAGCCCAGATTTACTTATCCATTTGAAAAAATATGGGTTGTGTGCTACTGGTACAGTTAGAGAAAATAGAGTCTGTGTCAAAAATAGTATCCAAAAGAAAGACGATCGAGGAAAATATGAGGTAAAACATGATCAGAATAGTGGTTTGAATTTCTTGACCGTAATGGACTCGAAACCAGTCTCTATTTTATCAACTGCAGCTGGAGCAACACCACTAAGCCCTGTTCTACGTCGCCAAAAAGGTCAAAAAGAAAAGAGAGAACTTGACTTCCCAAGAGCTTTTTTGATTTATAATAAATTCATGGGTGGAGTTGATCTACGTACATGATCAACGTTGCAATAAAATAGAACCAATAATACGATCTAAAAAATGGACGTGGATAATATTTATCCGACTTATTCAAACTTCCACAGCTAATGCTGTGATTGTATATTATAATACTGCTAATCAGAGTAATGGCGTGAAAATGAGTACAAAAGATTTTGCTATGGGAATAGGTAAGAATTACTTGAGCAGGTCTTGCAGGAAATCTGGATCATTACTCCATGAAACCAAACAACTTGAGGTACGAAAGCTGTGCGGCAATCAGGGTTGTGGAATTCGTACACGAAAGTTTTACACTACATGTTCTATGTATTATTGTGGAACATGCTTCAAGACGACTCATCCCTAAATGGAAGGAAGTTAGAAACTAAAAATTAAAAAAACCTAAGAAACTGTTTGAAAAATACAAAAAATACAAAAAAATACAAAAAAATACAAAAAAATACAAAAAAATACAAAAAAATACAAAAAAATACAAAAAAATACAAAAAAATACAAAAAAAATACAAAAAAATACAAAAAAATACAAAAAAATACAAAAAAATACAAAAAAATACAAAAAAATACAAAAAAATACAAAAAAATACAAAAAAATACAAAAAAATACAAAAAAATACAAAAAAATACAAAAAAATACAAAAAAATACAAAAAAATACAAAAAAATACAAAAAAATACAAAAAAATACAAAAAAATACAAAAAAATACAAAAAAATACAAAAAAATACAAAAAAATACAAAAAAATACAAAAAAATACAAAAAAATACAAAAAAATACAAAAAAATACAAAAAAATACAAAAAAATACAAAAAAATACAAAAAAATACAAAAAAATACAAAAAAATACAAAAAAATACAAAAAAATACAAAAAAATACAGAAAAATACAAAAAAATACAAAAAAATACAAAAAAATACAAAAAAATATACAAAAAATACACAAAAAATACACAAAAAATACACAAAAAATACAAAAAAATACAAAAAATACAAAAAAATACAACCAAAATATGATTCTCGAAAGCGTTCACCTCCTCGTGGTGAGAATCAGGCAACTCTAATGATTACTGATAAATCATAGGCAAAGAACGCGCGATCGCCATCGTAAGGCCATTACAACGTCTTAGAAGCACGATTGCGAATTTTCGATTTCTGATACTTTGGGAATTTTTCACTCGAGAATGGCGACTCTGAGCGAGAAAATGAACTGAAGTTATTTTATCTCAAATTTTACGTAGAATAAGATGGTATTTTTTTACTTTCCGTAAATAGCTATTTTTCAGGTCCGCCATATTGGATCCGCCATTTTAAATTTTGATAAGCTAATAATGAATTCAGATCTAATGATTCAGAGAGTTTACTAACCGATCAAAAAAAGAGGATTGGAGACTATACAGTGGCTATAAAAACGTGTAAATACGTTATTTCAGCTAACTCTTGGTAGCCGCCATCTTGAAAATCAATTGCGTGAGCTAATTTTGCTAATATGCATCCAATCTTTTGACATAAAACTCAGAAAAGTCACTTTGCCTGTTAAAACTTAGATTCAACTTCAAAAGTGCAAATTTCTGTGATTTTGCAATAATTTCGGGCATTCGGGCGCCATTTTGGATCGATTAACAGTCAAAATCGAAGTATCTAAAGATGTATTTTTGAAGTACAACCTTCGGGTCCCGTATCCTGATGGGTTAGGATATATTGGAGTACCGAGAATATAGTTGAAAAAATTCCTCAAAAGAAAAAAATTTTGAAAATTTGCATTTTTTTTTGTTTATTGTTAAAAATAAACTGTTTGCGTTCATTTTTCAATAAATTTAACGATGCCATTCGAAAAATGAGATTTTTTTACGGAAGAATATGTATCTCAATATTTTTTTCACATAGGTTATAATTGAAAGGCACGAGCTTGAAGTTAACGTTGAAATTTTGGACATTTGAGCGTTAACGGGTTAACAAATAAAAAAGGTATTGTTAGAATTTTATTCATTCTAACTCCTCAGATTTGTAGCATTATGTGTTTCTAACTCAAGGAAGGACTATTGCAGACTTAATTACTGTAGACTTGTCTCTACAAGTCTAAGATAAGATAGAAGGCAAGTGCGAGTTCACACATATCAATTACTCTCTTCTAAACCATCTTTTTATCACAGTTTACAAGTATTTAATATAATTACACGTCGTATAAACATTTTGTTACATCGTACTAAATTAAATCGTTGAATATTTCTTGCATATTGGTCTTCAATATCTCGTAATATCAATCTTGATATTTATAATACGTCTCCATTTTGTTCAACTTTATCCTTGAATGCTGTAACCATAAAGCCGACTTTTCCACGACAATAAATGACGCCCGTGATATTGTGTTACTAATTCTTTATTTTACGCAAGCGAGGGAAGCAATAAATGGTCTAAAAGACTAATGTTGTGCTGGAAAAATGTAGCAAATAAATTCGTGAAAAAGAATGACGTGCAAGTGGAAAGCAGAACCAAGAATCGGGCAACACAAACGTTTAGCCAAATGATTACTTTATTATAATGATCAAAAAACGAATCTTACAAGCTATTTCCGCTAACACAAACTCTAAGGCTTCTGCCTGTTAACATAACTCATAGAAGAACGTTCCCAATCCTCCGCCTTTGATTTTGCTACAATTTGAATATGTTAGAGCTTATTGAAAAATAAATGATACGTGTTTTCTTTTTCGCCGAAAAAAGCTTCCTAATAGATGAAAGACACCCTCGAAAATCATCTCTTAGAGCAGTTTTCTATCAATATTTTTGTTTTTAATTAAAATTTTTCAACAAAATAAAATGGAAGTTAATTGCTTTTCCTTAAGCTAACTTTGTCCATTTTGTTTCATTAAAAAATATATCCAAAACATATCCAAATTACATTGAAATCGGAGGCAGAGAGTTGGAAATGTTCCCTTATCAGTAGAATAGACGTCGGGCGCGGAGGGTCACGCGATCATTGCTAACGAACTTCTCAACGATATTTGCTCAGGTAATGATTATGGATCGTTGATGGCGTCTTTACTGCATTTATGATTACAGAAAGCTCATCACGCATGAAAACCTGGACGAAGAACTCATAACAGAGAAACAATGGAAGAGAGAGACAGACAGACAAAGAAAGAGAGAGAGAGAGAGAGAGAGAAATAGAGAGAGAGAGAGACAGAGACAGAAAAGAGAGATAAAGAGAGTTCAACTAATCAAGGCGTCTAAGATCGAATCTCGTCGATTACGATGCGCCGATTGAATAATCCTGCTGATGAATGCTGCACACTGATAGCGATGAGATAAGTGCACACTCGGATGGAGATCAACGCGCTCCTTTGCGAGGTACCCAGCTGGTAGTCAATGAATGTACTCGGTTCCTCTATTACAAGTTGCTGGTAGCCGGGCGCAATTCAGTGACACATCTCGTTCTCGTCACAAACGTACCCCACTCGTTGATCACCACACAAAGCGATTCACAGCGGCCACTGAATGATGGGGCTCATTTCGCATTTACAATGTACATTTTGCAATACTTACATTACATATTTTATGTCTGATGATTTATTTAATCTTGGCAAATGCTCCTATACTCATTTCCTTTTGCATTTTAATACTCCATATAGTTTGTAGTTTGCCACTCTTTCTTTCCAGTACTTTCTATTAATAAGTTTTTACTAATAGAAATACTTTTGCTTTTTACTTATTTTAATACTTGTTTTTCAGTTCATTTCCGTCATAGCGCTTAAAACACATAACATTTTATATGTTTAGGTTTGATTTTATGATAGATACATTTAATTTCAATTAGTTAAAATCCAGTCTCACTTTTTCTAAGCTTTTATACACTCATTGCTCGTTATAATATTCATTTGCTTCAATGATCTGTTACGTCTCGTGCATAAACTACGAATAGCGAATGTGCGAAACGTACCAATATGATACAAGTAGCTGGTTGAGGCTCACAAGTAATGAGTAATATATGATATATGGATAGAAATGAATGTGTTTTATTATTTTGTTGTACTTACAGTCTCTGGAGTACTTTCAGTATCGTAGATCTCGGTATTTGGTTAGGTTAAATAATGAAGTTGCACGTTCTCACTTTTAAGGGATCGCATATTTATTAAGATCAAATAATATAGTTTGACAAGTAGTAATTGAATAGTTAGCCAAATTGTCGAACAGGCTTGCACGCGACTGTAGCGTCGATACGTAAAGTTTATTCGTCAATTGTCGAACTGACGTGTACGGAGTAACAATATGGACTGACTATTTACAGGTGGTTCGTCTTATATACATAGATTTGTGCTTAATTAATCGCTGATGTTTCTGTGTAGTTGGGTAATTTTCCTTTTGAGTTCAATGTGCGTTGTGTAATGCTGAGTATGGTCTTTGTGTTTTGCTGCCGTATAGTTTTCTGGTGGACGTGTACATAGTTTTGATTTTTACGAAATTCGGAATTGCACTTTTTAAAGAGTGTAAATGAATAAAGATACGTCTTGAGACGTAACACCTCGGGGCATAAGATATTGCAATTAATATGTATTGATTGCAATGGTTGGTTTTCGGTGGAAAAGATTATTTTATTATGTGCATTTCCGAGTTTCGGAAGTTTTGGAATTTGATTGCGTCGGTGGGATCATTTTTCTGCAAGGTGTACAAATTATTTGATATATAAAGGCTGCGTCGCTTCGATAGTTTACAAAGTGTTCTTTGCGCTTGTGACGAAAATATAGAATTTAACATGTACGGTTTCCCGAGAAAACGTTATTCGATGGTTTGCGTAAGTATTTTGCTTATTTACAATATGTATATGTGTATGTAAATGCTGTATGTAGGTGTCTATAATATATATATAATTTTGGCTTTTCTTTCCTTTAGTTTGAAGACTGGAAGTATACTCGTGCTGTCAGGCGTGCCAGGAGGGAAGGCCTGCCTATGCCCGTTGCGCCGAAGCCTGGAACGAGGAACTATCGTAGGATAGAGGGAGGTATTTCCGTT